TTCCCAATTTTTTTTGCTGTACTTTGGATCAAATAAATGCAGGCTTGGTGAGCAGAAGAGAATTAAGTGCAAACTGGTTGTCTGCCAGCAGGAGGCGCTTGAAGAGCGGAAGAACTAGCGGTTTCTCCAGAAACTGTTGTAATCAAAGCAGCTCCGCTCATGAACACTTCTTTATTAGATAAAATAAAAATCCCATCGAAACTTTTCTGAAGACAGTCCTTTCCCTTCAGAGATACATTCATAATAAAACACCCGCTACACGTTTTGATTTTAAAACTTGCAGTGCTCATGTTTATTCAATGAAGTCAAATGCCAGAAATAAATCAATGTATGGGAAACACTGGTAATGTAGGCTATATCGAAATATCGGAAATGTGTTTAAAAACCATATCACCGTTATTGAAAAATGTATATATCGCGATACATATTGATATTGAATTATTGTCCAGCCCTAATTCCTGGTGAACTGATTCTTTTTCCTCTTCATCCAGAGCAGAGCGCAGGTGTTGATGCAGGTGCTGCAGGAGAAACACAAGACTCCTCTGTTCACTGTGAGAGAAAGAAAAAACTACGCTCACTCTCCAGGTCACATCAGGCACTCTGACACTGAAATCAGCTCATCATGTTTCCAGAAGCGTGTATATTCTGCTATATAGATCCAAACATTACCAGTAAGGATGCTTTAGATATATCAGCGATGCTTTGTCATATTGCTTCTCCTCCTGAATGCTGAATGCTGGTGGTCCAGGCTCAGGATGAATAGAGCATCTGTTATTTAGGCACTTCCACATCCTCTGAGCACTGGAACAACAGAGCCTTTGAAATCCCTCTTTAAACACTTTAACCCTCTCAACCCACAGGTGGCGCTAATGTACACGACATATTAATGTACAAGCTCATTCTGAGTGGATAAGACATTTATTTTGGTTTATTTATGGTTTGGTTATAAAATATCTGTAATCCTCATGGGCAGATATTGTTGTTTATCAACTTGAATGTTATATTATGTTATATTATTAAATGTTGAATTTTCTCTCTCTCTCTCTCTCTATATATATATATATACACAATGTTAGCCTAATAGATATAATATTATAACATTGTAAATTATTAGTAAAATATGAAATATTATGTTACTTTGTTATATATATATATATATATATATACACACACAGTTCTCATAATATTAAATTTTCATGTTTAAAATATAATTTTATATAGTAAAATATTTATATACATGGTACTTTTGGATGCAGTATTGTGGTGCATTTGGTTTACTTTGACAAACTTAATTTTCACATTTTATATGTCTATAAATCATATACAAATATTGAAATTTACATATTATATATAAAGTACATGTATATGTAAGTATGCGGACATATTAATTATAGCGTAATATAATAAAAAATATTATATTTTTGTTTATTTTATTTCATATTTAATATATTTGTACATAATCTTAATATTTGGAAAATATTTTAGAAAATATAATTATAATTATATAGGCTTTCACATACTTGCATGTTGTATTGTTGTGCACTTGAGTTAACTCATGTTAATTATAATATTAAAGGGGTCATAGGATGCTACATGCACTTTTGCAAGTTGTTTGAACTGAAATGTG